GGCCCATCTTTGAAAAGAGCTATCCAATAATCCCACTTCCCCACTCTTTTCCCGTAGCCTTCCAAATGTTTCCTTTTCAAGTAAATATCCAATTCCCTTTTGAAAGTTATTGGCGTGAGCTGGGCTGCTGCAGAGACCTTGGAAGAGTTGTCAAATGGTAGTACCTGTCGTTGTGGAAGAACTCATTAGTCAAGTTACACCTAGTTATAGGGATTTGCATTCATTAATGAGGATTGAACACAGAGGCCACCCAGTATACTCTGCGAGGGATAACGAGCCATATTGTGGGTGTGTGTACATATACATATACTTATACATATATATAATAAATAATAATAATAATCCTTGCATTTGATATAGCGCTTTTTCACGTCTTCTCAACGTCTCAAAGCGCTTCACAGAATACGCTGTAAAGTGAATTGATTGTATATTTGTGGGCGAAATGCGGCAGCCAATTGCGCGCAGCAGTGTCCCACAAACAGTCGTGGATTGAAAATGACCAATTTATTATTGTTTTGTTTTGGAGGGATTATTATTAGGCTCTGTGTGGAGTAAGGAAACTTGCCCAAGGTTTCGCCCTCTGCCTGGAATTGAACCCAGGTGTCTCGCTTGCGAGGCAAGTGCTCTAACCACTGAGCTACAGGACTCCATAGAACCTTCTCAGAGTAATGTGCTGCTTGAGCTGGCATCCAGTGTTGAACGCCACATTTATCAAAACCAGTTAGTTAGAATTCACCCTCACAAATTTCTGTGTGATTCTGGAGAGATTGGTAACAGATTTTCCAATTGGCATCTGACCTTCTAACATGTTTTCAATTTTCTCCTTCTGCTGAGTGCTGAGACGTAAAACGCTCCACAAGGCGGTTTGTTTGCGTTTATTTTCATTGGGGGAGGGAGTGCAGTATAAGGCATTGTGTGCTTTAACCAACAACAACGTGCAGTTATATAGAGCACTTCACATCAGGAAGATGTCCCAAGGCTCTGGACAATGAAGAGTTTGCACCCGAGCTGTGGGTTGGGATCAGAGAGGTGTGGAGAACAAGGGGGTGGAGGAGAGAAGATAACAAAATGTGCAGTCCAAAAAGAAGGTCTTGAGACGGGCCTTAAAGGAGGTAAGGGAACAACAACAACAACAACAAGATTCCATTTATAGAGCGCCTTTCACGTCAGGAGGACGTCCCAAGGCGCTGCACAGTTGGGTCATGACCCGAGCAGGGGGGAAATGGTCAGGGTGAGGGGAGGGAAGGGAGGGAGAGAGGAGGGGGAAATGGTCAGGGTGAGGGGAGGGAAGGGAGGGAGCGAGGAGGAGGAAGAGAGTCGAGAGGGGAGCTGAAGGCACGGTCAAAGAGAAAGGTTTTGAGACCGGCCTTGAAGGAGGAAAGGGAGGAAGCAAGGCGAAGGCACTGGGGGATGGAGTTCCAGAGCCTCGGGGCTGAGAGGCTGAAGGCCCGACCACCGATAGTAGGGCGGTTGGGGCGGGGGACGTGGAGCAGACCGGAGCCAGAGGAACGGAGGGTACGGGCAGGTAGGTAGGGGGATAGTAGGTTGGAGAGGTAGGAGGGAGCAAGGCCGTGAATGGCCTTGTAGGTGAGGATGAGGATCTTGAAATCAATCCTCTGGGGGATGGGGAGCCAGTGGAGGCGAGCGAGGGTGGGAGTGATGTGGTCCCGAAGCCTGGTGCGGGACAGTACACGAGCTGCAGAGTTCTGAATGACCTGCAGCTTGTGGAGGGAGGTGGCGGGAAGGCCGGCGAGGAGAGAGTTCCCATAGTCCAGCCTTGAGGTGACAAAGGCGTGAACCAGGGTTTCAGCAGCGTGAGGGGTGAGGTAGTGCCGTAATCTGGCGATATTCCGGAGGTGATGGAAGGCGGTGCCAGTTGTGGTGCGGATGTGAGGGAGAAAGGACAGCTCAGGGTCGAACAAAACGCCGAGGTTCCTGACTGGCTTTGAGAGGTGGAGAGTGCAGCCTTGGATGCTGATGGTGTCAGCGCCTGAGGTGCGGAGGCGCTGACGTGAGCCAATCAGGAGGGCCTCGGTTTTTCGCACGTTGAGCTGAAGAAAGTTGTCTCTCGTCCAGGACTCGATGTCGGACAGGCAGGCTGTCAGGACATCGGTGGTCGTGGAGTTGAGAGTAGAGGAGGAAAGGTAGAGTTGGGTGTCATCCGCATACATGTGGAAGTTAACCCCATGTTTGCGGATGATGTCACCGAGGGGGAGCATATAGAGGGTGAAGAGGAGGGGACCGAGGACAGAGCCCTGAGGGACACCACATGAGACAGTACGGGGGGTGGAGGAGAAGCCATTCGTTGAGACGAAGTGAAGACGGTGGGAAAGGTAAGAGCTAAACCATTCAAGGACAGTGCCTTGAAGGTTGAGGTGGGAGGACAAGCGGTGGAGTAGGATAGCGTGGTCGACCGTATCGAATGCTGCCGATAGGTCGAGGAGGACGAGGAGACAGAGGGAGCCCTGGTCACAGATAGTCAGGATATCATTGGTGACCTTGACCAGGGCAGTTTCTGTGCTATGAGCAGCACGGAAACCTGACTGAAGGGGTTCAAAAAGAGAATGGGTGGAGAGGAAAGAGCGCAGTTGGGAGGCGACAACTCTTTCCAAGACCTTGGAGAGAAAGGGGAGGTTGGAGATGGGCCGGTAGCTTGATAGCTGCGACGCATCAAGGGAGGGTTTTTTCAGGGTGGGCGTGATGATGGCAGTTTTTAATGGAATGGGGACAGAGCCAGAGGAGAGGGACAGGTTTATGATGTCAGTGATGTGTGGGGCAAGAAAATGGAGCTGGGAGATAAGGAGTGGAGTGGGGATGGGGTCAAGGGAGCAGGTGGTTGGTTTTAGGGATAGGATGAGTTCAGTGACAGAGGGTGGGGAAACGGGTACGAAGGTGTGTAGGGGAGGATGGGTAGGAGTCGGAGTGTGGGAGGGAAGGGGTGGGTGGTGGGTGGAAGTTGGAGGGGAAGTGACCGCGGAGCGGATTCCCTTGATCTTGGATTCAAGGAAATCCAGCATCTCCTCGCAGTGAAGGTTGGAGGAGATGACCTGCGCGGGGTGGCGGGGGGGACGGAGGAGTCGGGATGTGGTGGAAAACAGTAGCCTGGGGTTGTTCTTCGCCTCCAGGATTATCCTGGAGTAGAAGGACGACTTGGCCGAGGCTAGAGTGGAGCGGTAAATTTTGAGGAGGTCCAGCCAGATTTGTCGGTGGACCGTTAAGCCGGATTTGACAAAGGTGCGCTCAGCAGCCCGCACCTGGCATTTCAGTGAGCGGAGGTGGGTGGTGTACCAGGGGGAGGAGCGGGAGTAGGAGACAGTGCGGGAAGTGATGGGGGCAAGAGTATCGAGTGTGGAGGAGAGGATATTGTGGAGGAGGGAGAGAGGAGAAGAGGGGTCGGTGAGGGTTGAAGGCCAGAGGGAGAGGAGTTCAGAGGACTCCAAGGCATCGGTTAGGGATTGTGGGGGTAACTTCTTCCAAGGGCGGTAGAAGATGGTGGTGGGTCTGGTGGAGGTGGGGAGGGGGGTGGAGGTGGTGAAGGAGATGAAGTAGTGGTCGGAGATGGCCTTGTCGGTAATAGTGACATCCGAGACACTGAGGCCCCGGGTGATCACCAAATCGAGTGGGTGGCCGTGACTGTGAGTGGGGGAGTTTATGTGTAGGGAAAGGTTGAGTGAGGAGAGCAGGGAAGAGAAGTCTGTGGAGATGGAGCAGGAGGGGGTGAAGTGTAGGTTAAAGTCGCCCAGGATGATGAGGCGATCAGAGGAGAGGCAAAGAGATGTGAGGAGTGTTGAAATGGCAAAGAGATGTGAGGAGTGTTTAATTGGAAGGATGAGGTAGAGGGGCTTCGGGATGGATTTCTAGAGGTTGGGGGGCAAAAAGACTGATAGTCCAACCGCTGATTGAGGAGCATGCATGGCAGGGGACGGGAGCAGGCCAGTGCCTGCTGAGTGGAGGGAATGGGCAATTTGTTAAGTGCACGCATGCACACACACATAGTGGTGTGGATTGCATTGTGAATTTTGTAACAGTTCTTTTCATTTGAACAGATCAGTAGGCACACACAGGCCCTTGTTTCTGTACCTCGTACTCTTTTTATATCATAAATATTGTTGGTTGGCAACCATTCACATTGTATGGTGTTAAGAATGTTGCAGCAGAGAAACTACAAGGAGAATGTGCTGAATGAAAAATGCATGGCAGGACTCAACAGTAATATTTGTTTTTTTAAAAAGCATATAACGTTATTTATTAAAACTTGTGCAAAGTAATAGACATGTGTCAGCCTGGCTCAGTCGGTAGGACTCTTGCATCTGAGTCAGAAGGTTCAAGCCCCATGTCGGAAATTTTAATTACATAGTCTAAGCTGATGCTCCAGTGCAGTGCTGGGGATGTGTTGCATTATCGGAAGTGCCATTATTCGAAAAGAAAGGGAGTTTCTCCCAGTGCCCTCGCTGACAATCTCCCAGATACAATTGGTCACTCACTCCATGGCTGTTTGTGGGACATTGCTGTGCGCAACTGGCTGCCACATTTCACTCACAAAATACACAGTCAATCTGTAAAATTCACTTTACAGTGTTTGTGCTTCTGTGAAGTGCTTTGAGATATTCGAGGAAGTGATAAGGTGTTATATCAAATTCAAGGATTACAACATAAACACCTTGCATTTTCAGCGCCCCTCATGCTGGATAACATGCCAGAGCACTTAAATTATTATTATTAAAGCCTTTTTAGTCGCTATATCAAATGCAAGGATTATTATTATAATTAAAGCCATTTTTTTCACACACTGCAGCACAACTAAAAACGCCCAATTGGGCGTGAAACCCGCCCAATCTGACCACACACATTGGCGGAGAGGAGCGGAGTGCTCGCCGCTTAACGCGCGGGGCATGATGGGGAGTGTAGTTCGGACCGCCCCGCCCATCGGCCATGTGGGGGGAGGAACTACAGCTCCCGCGATGCTGTGCGAGTCCGTGTGGGGCGGTTGGTGTGGGCGGGCGGCGCTGCGGGGAGACACGGACTGACTGACTGACTGACTGGGAGTCACTGAGCTGCACACCGTGGAGCTGCTTTCACCTCACGACGGCCTCTCCACGTGAGGGGGCAACACTCGGAGATTATATTACCCCTTCCCCCCCCTCCATCAACTGAAACTTTCTGTCCGGGCTGTTTGGGTGAAGAAGTGCTGTGTTTTATTATTTTAGTGTGTGTCCCCCCCCCGCACTGGGAGACAAAGAGGCTGAGGGCACGGACTCGGACGCTTGGCTTTTACCCCCCGATTTGCTTGTGGTATTTTCGGGGTCGGGGGGGGATTGAGGTGTTTTTGTTCTCTCTCTCTCGCCGCCGCCGCCGCCTTTTTTAAATCGAGAAAATAGAGAGCGGGAGGAAGCGGCCGCCGCTCGGGCTCACCATGGGCTGCACCATCAGCGCTGAGGATAAAGCCGCCGCCGAGCGATCCAAAATGATCGATAAACACCTGCGGGACGATGGCGAGAAGGCGGCGCGAGAGGTCAAACTGCTGCTCCTCGGTCAGTCTCCGCTGCTTTACCCCTTTGTTACTGTCGCGACGTGGACGGCAGCAGCTCCGAACCCCCGACCCCCCCCCCCAGCCCCCCCAGCCCCGAACCCCCAAACCCCCGACCCCCCCCTCCAGCCCCCCCCCCAAACCCCAGCCCCCCGACCCCCCCCCAAACCCGACCCCCCCCAGCCCCGACCCCCCCCCAAACCCGACCCCCCCCAGCCCGACCCCCAGCCCCCCCCCCAAACCCGACCCCCCCCCCAGCCCCCCCGACCCCCCAGCCCCGACCCCCGACCCCCCCCCCAGCCCCCCGACCCCCAGCCCCCCCCCCCGACCCCCCCCCCGCCCCCCGACCCCCCCCCCCCCCAGCCCCCCCCCCGACCCCCCTCCCCCAGCCCCCAGCCCCGGCCTGACCGTGCCTCACTCTGTGTGTGTGTGTGTGTGCACGCGCCTCGCTCTGCGTATGTGCGCGCGCCTCGCTCTGCGTGTGTGTGTGTCGCTGTGGGGGCGCCTCACTCTATTTTCTGCTACTCTGAGGCAGAGAGTAACAAACAGAGTGGCACAACATGTGCTATAAAGTAAGAGCGTCCTCACGCTCCCCGGTGCATTGTTAATCTGTGTCACATCCTTTACCACATTACTTTTTGTCACTTCACAGAATTCCCAGTAGTCAGTCAGATTGTAGTGTTTCTGTCTTACATTGCCTGTTGTGTGTGAACTACAGTAACAGCAGTCTACCTGGAGAAGAAGGGAAGGGTGGAGGGGGATGTGATGGGAGTCCCATGAACTGATGAAATGCTGGCGTGAGTTTAGGTGATTTATGAGTAGAACAAATCTCAGGCTTTCGTTTGTTTTAATTTTTGTCTTTGAAGATAGCAAAAATATTTGAAAAATGCTGTTTTTGTTTGCAAAAGTTTCCCCTTCTCCAAGGCGAACGAAACAATGCAAAATGATTGAGGAAGTGTTTATTAAAACTATATTATATATGAAGACGAGTGCTGCAATTCTTTCAGAATTTATTTGACTATTTAAACAGGATCACTCCCTCACCCTGGTTATAGATCACAATGGAGGATTCAGTAAAATCTAGATTTCTCTCCTGATCTATAAACTTCTGACACAGAATGAAGTGTGTAGAATAATCAGGTTCTCCAAAGGCCCAGGGGAGAGGAAGGGGATAACTTGTGTATTTAAATTAGCTGCGAGGCTTTCAATTGTATTCCTTGACTTCTCATAATTGATGCGAGCGAGTTTACGCGCTGAGATTGATGATGATTGCGTGCTGAACCTTTACCGGTTAATGATCTTTCTCTGTTAATTTGTATTATACACAAAACGTACATGGAGCAACGTCGCTAGTCTGGCGATGACATGATCTTTCTGGTCCGTTTATATCAGCGTGTTTCCTGTGGCTTTGCTGTTGATGCAAGAGCAGAGAACACACAGAAGCTACAGAAACGTGTGGAAACCCCCGCACTCCCCTCCCCCAACAGACCTGACAGAACCGAGCTGGGCTCCCCCCTCCCCCTCCCTTGAGTGTGTGATGAATGATCGAGAAATCTCACTCAGCAGCAAAAGAGATTCTGTACAGATAGCGATTAAGTCGCAGGCTGTTGTCATAATCCGGTTTACAGATAACAGTAGATTCTCACATCCTGCTTTGAGTTTGTAAGCCTTTGACTATTGATTTAGGTTAATTGATTTCTTCAAAAATTACTTCCAGCCGTTTGATTAAAAAAATACATGGCAACAAATGTGTGTTTCACATTAAATATGAAGTTCAGTTCGATGCCTTACTCAAACACCAGCGAGTTTGTTCATAAGCTTTAGGCAATTAATTGATCGAGGTTTGAAACGTGTGTGATATGGATTCAGAAGATTGGGAGTCGCCTCCGAAGGAAAGACCTTTCTAAATAGAGCCCTGTAGTGTAATGGTTAGCTAGCTTGCCTCGCTAGCAAGAGGACCCAGGTTTGATTCCCAGATGGGACAACACCTCACGCAAATTTCCTTACTCCACACACTTCTGTTTACCTAGCAGTAAGTTGGAACTCAGTTGTTAGTCGATTGGCAGATTGATTAGTGATAATCTCTCAATCCATGACTGATTGTGAGTCACTGGTGTTTGCAATTGGCTGTGTGTTTTACCCACAAAATACAGTCAGTCCACTTTACAGTATTTTCTGTGAAGCACTTTGAGATGTCTCAACATCATTTTAAGGCAATATATCAAATGCAAGTATTTTATAAATGCAGGCAGCCCTAGGGGTTTCAGGGAATCTGATGTGGAATACGGAGCTGTTCGAACGCTGGGGGTCATAAAGCGGATCGAATGGCCTACTTTGTTTCTCTTTCCCCCACCCTGCCCTGCCTGATCTGCTCACACCATCAGTAGACAAGCTTTATCCTCTACCTTGTTCATGCCTTTAAAGCTTACCTTAAGACCTTTCTTTTCAACCACACTCTTGGTCACCACCCCCCCTCTCAAGGCTCTAAATATATATATATATGTGATTTGGACATTAGTCAATGTTAATTACAAATGATACAGTACTGCAATTTTTTTCCCAAAAAATCCAACTCTTACATAAAGTTTCATCTTGCTGAGTTTGCATTCACTCTTTCACTGTAACAATTTTTTTTCCCAAAAAACCCAGCTCTTAACATGATAATCTTTTATCTTGCTAAGTTTGCATTCACTCTTTCACTGTAACAAAACTCATTGCCAGAAAAAAAATTCAGCCAAAGTGCGATAGACCTAGATTAATAGCTCCAAATGATTAGTACATTGCTGCTCAGTAAAATGTACAGTAGTCATTTAGCGATGCATTTAACTGTGTGCAAGGAGCAAAATGCAGAACAATAAAATCTCAAAACAATCTTGAATGTTTTTCTAAAGGCACAAACGGAAAATACACATACAATTGAGTGCAGTGACTGGGCTCCTCTAAAAGTGGGTGAATCTACGAAAGGAATTCCCATGTATAGTTAATAATAATGATAATCCTTGCATTTGATTGTTGAGAAGCCTCAAAGCGCTTCGCTGAAAATACTGCAAAGTGAATTGACTGTATATTTTGTGGGTGAAAAAGGCAGCTAATTGAGCAAAGCAATGTCCCACAATCAGTCGTAGATTGAGTGACCAAATTATCATTATTTTTAGTTAGTTGGGAGCATTGTACATAGGCATGTAAAATACATTGTGCATCTGTGTGGGGAAGTGGGGTGAACATATGCATTGACTGATGCATTTGCTAAAATTTGGATACTGTACATTTATATAGAAGCATCACTGTTTTTTAGTCAATTCGGTTGCACCAATCAATTAGGTGATGTATGGAAAGTAGTGTGTGTATGTATGCAGAGAAGATCCTTTATGAAACCTCTTGCATTGACAGTAACTCATGACTATCTTGCTCATGTTAGTTTCTGGACTTTGAGCTCACAGTCTAGCCTGACATGCTCCTCTAATGCAGTGCTGAGGAGTGGTGCATCATCGGAGAATTAATTAAACCAAGTTGCCACCTGCCTCTTTGGGGAAATTATGGATCCCATGGTACTATTCGTTCCCCCGCTCCTCCGTGTCCTGGCTGACAATCCCCCCAGATAACATTGGTCACTAATTTCATGACTTTGTAGGACCTTGCTGTGCACTAATTGGCTGCAGTGTTCACTCACACAGTCGCTACAGTTTATAGTAAATCCAAGTAAGACTGTGAAGTGCTTTGAGGTTTTTCAATAACATAAGGAACTATATCAAATGCAAGGATTATTACTTAGTTGCATGATTCTTCAAATGTGTCTTGCTTACTCCATCTATTGAAATGGTAAACTGGTGAAGTGATAAGAGGATGGATTTAATGTTGTAATGTATCCTTTGAAGGATGATTCCAGTGAGCTTTGGGTTCAGAATGTCTGCGCTTTGAACATTATGTTCAAATGCATTTTCCATGGGATCAGAGATCAGATTGTGATATCATCGGCATGAAAACTATTTATTGGAATTAAAACATGTGGAAAAATGTAATTTCCAGCACTCCATGAATCACACTGATGTTAACAGGGAGGCAATTTCTGAACTACACCTTTGCATTTGATACAGTGCCTTTCACATTGGGAGGATGTGCCAAAGTGCTTCACAGAACATAGTGAAGTGGAGTGACTGCTTTGTGGATGAATATGGTTGGGAAAGCCCCAAATTGTCCTTTCAGTGTCAGAGCTGACAATGGGCAGTTGTCTTCTCATTGATAAGATTTTTGCAAATTGACTATTAAGTAGGCGAAGCTCTAAAATGTGAAAGTTGCATTACTTTAGGGTTTAAATCATTTTTTTGTACTTGTCCTCTCTTGAACCACAGTATTGGTTTCATATCAATTTCTTCCATCAGCTCAAATAATATACACAGGAGTATGGGCAGAGGGACAGCAATTAGATGTTGCCGCACCCTAAAGACTTTGTTGATTTACTTGTGCTTCTCCAGTCATTTATTTAACTTCCCCACCCGTCCTCAATCTCCTCTTGGGACCTAGGGGAGGTCGAAGCGTATAGTTGAACCAATTATTTTTAGCAAACACAGGGATTTTATCATCGTCATTTTAAATTATTAGCCTCTCAGCCCAGCGAGATGGTTGGATTTAAGGTGAGCTATTTTAGTACTTGCATGAAAGTGTCTGAAGGTGGAGGCGTGGAACCAATGTGGAATCTGTGAAGGCTATGAAAAGCATGTATTTCAGTGAATTTAAGTAATAAGTTCACTTGAACATGGTTATCATGTTACACGGACAGGGATTGAGAGGCAAGGAGCAGGGCAGAGCAGAGCTGCCCTTGACTCACTATTACATATCAACAACAACACAACAACAAGATTCCACTTATAGAGCGCCTTTCACGTCAGGAGGACGTCCCAAGGCGCTGCACAGTTGGGTCATGACCCGAGCAGGGGGGAAATGGTCAGGGTGAGGGGAGGGAAGGGAGGGAGAGAGGAGGGGGGAAATGGTCAGGGTGAGGGGAGG